AGTTATTGTTGTTAGAGAGAGTTTCTCATGCGTTATTTTCCTTCGTTTACGTCAAGGCGTTGGGGGAAACAAACTCGCCGAATTTGGGTGAAGCGTGCATTTTATTTTGTTAAAGTATCTCGAGAGCTGTCTGATAGGAAAAGCTGGGAATTTAAGGATATAATATCCTCGGAGCTGGAAAGTACTCAGGTACTTGATTGTATTTGGCAGGATGTAATTTAATCGGGAAATTACGAGTAATTACAAAAAAAAAAAAAGATAATTACGATCGTTATATTATTCCTGGATAATAGAATGTTGTAAAATTGGTCTTTAAGAGGTAATATGCAGTAAAAATGTGAAAATAATTCGTAAATAATATAATTAAGTTCTATAAGTTAATATGTAAAGCTTGTTAAGAAACTTGTTTCGAAGCTTGCTAAAAATTCCTCTTTGGTTTTGCTTTAAAATTACGAATTAATCAGAAAACATGTAAACTGTCGTAAAACTTCACGAGTTGCAATACAAATTTAGAATCTTATGATTACATTAGCTGCAAACCATCAATTTTAGTTATTAATTTGCAGCAGTATCTCTTGATCAAATCAAGTAACAATAAAATAGTAAATAAACAATGAAATTACGTTTGAGAAGTTAGTATGCATTTCACAACTGTCGGCTTGTTAAGTCTTTAATTATTGGCTGTTTTAAAATTACTTATGATTATATCAGAAGCAAACCATCGATTCTAGTTACTAATTTGTGCTACTTTTTGATGAAAATTCACAAATTGATTAAATCACCAGGAATTCGCTGAAACATCTAGATACTCGTGCTACATTGAAGTCTACATCGAGGTTCATCGTTTGGATTTCCACGGATTTAACCAATAATACACTCGACCCGATACCGAGACGAGGAAATTTTTTCGAAAAATAAAATCAATTCAACTGGCTCGGTTACGACCAGCGGTGTGGTCTTCTTTTCGCCATTTCTTCTCAGCAACTTGAGAATCTCGATTCAATAAAAATTCGCGGCTCTGTACACCCTTTGATCGTAGATTGAAGCGTAGAAGGATCACACGTGTATTTTTCACTTTGAAAGTGAATGAACGTGGGGAAATTGCTTTGACTCTTTCCTTCTTCTTCTTCTTTCTCTTTTTTCTTTTTTTTTTTTTTTATCTTTCCAGTACAGTGCACGACGAAACTCGAAAAACTTCATTTACGAATATTAAGGATTTATCAATGGTTTTTTTCACCTCGTTGAACGAATGTTTCGCGAAACGTGGAAACATTCATTTCGATCATCCGTCGGCGTATCGTTATCGACTTGCCAATCATGGAAACGCGCGCCGGCCAGTTTATTCAATAATAAATTATCTGACGCGTCGGTTGATCACGAACACGTACCGCCCACGAAATTGGATTGTGCCACAATCTCGGCATTATATTGTAACGCTTTTGCGTTTCGTAACAGCACGTCCGATATCGAAATGAAAATAGAACATTTTTGCTAGAGCTCGGTGACCGATCCGCGGATAATCCGGATTGTAAATAAAATTAATCCACGACGATTTTGCTGCAGATTTGAGCACGCGATATATAGTTATTGGCTCTTTTTCTTTCTCTTTCTAAGACATTTTTTTTTTTATGGTTTATAAATTTTAAAGAGCTTTATCAACGTAGGACAAATTAAATTGCGAAAGATTAATTTTAAAGACTTTTCGAATCGAGCATTTTAAAATGCTCTACTAATGCTTCAAAATGTTCTACGGTCGATTAAATTTATCATGAAATTTATCATGCATTACACATTATGTTACAATATTATATATTACAGATTATAAAACTGATGCATTTTCTGAGAGTTGTAATTAATTTTCAGTATTTTTCAAGAAGCAAGTATCTCCACGCTTTTCTAAATTTACGTTGTTCGTTAAAAGGAAGTGTAAAAGAATCACAAATTCCAAGAGCAAATGTTCAAACTGATCGTCATTTTATTCTATAAAATTGCCATTAAAATCAAGGATATCGGTCAAGCGTTAGCTAGTAGCTTAATTTTTTCCAGATTGATTGCAGAATTTCAACAATAGGAGATTTCAAATTGAGGCTGAGTCGATCGCCGATTCGGTTGGCGAATATTAGAGGTGGAAAAAGAACGTAGCAATCTTCCAGTTTCAGTTCGTTCTCATCTCTTTTCGAGAGGGCACTCGTGATTCGCGACTACTTGGAGAACTTCCCGCTGGTTCATCCATTGAATCTCATTCTTCGACGTTCTTTTAATCCCTCGTCCTCCATGGACAAGTCGTAAATCTTTTGAGAATCACCTCCTCTGTCCGAGGAATCTGCTTCGAGGAAAGTTCGTTTTCTCTCTTCTCGCGTTAAAAATACCGATCGAGTGAATTACTCGATACGATCGCGATTGCAATCACCTACAAGTATAATTGAAGTTTCACTGAAAATAATATATTCGACAGGACTAGTTCTTTTTATTACGTTAAGGGAATGTAAACGTGTAGTCATAAAGATCAGAAATAATAGAGAATGTAAATTCGAAAAAAGAAAGATGAACGAGAAATATTGAAATATCTCTGGATCTGCCACGCCACGTTTTCACACATAAATTATTCTGAATCACGCGACTCAAATTACAAAGAAATTGGATTCTAACGTAATTCATTTTACTACATTTAGTTACGTTTAGCCGTGTTTGGCCGAAGTTCACTACGGCTTAACGATGTCCCGCTGATGTTAAACATACCCTGTATAAATACCTTACTATGTAAATACAGTTTCATTAACGATTTCCCCAAATTCCTTTTCTGTTTTTTTTAGGCAGAGATTGGACGGACGTCGGGTCTTTGACGAGGACGCCAGCTATTATAAGCGATAAATTCTCATTATCCCTCGTGTCATCAATTTCGCGGCGCGGAAATTCATCGTTGCCAGGGCTGCGTGAAAAATATCCAGGCCAAAGGAAAGGAACAGCTGAGAGAGAGAGAGAGAGAGAGAGAGAGGGAAAAAATGGAGGAAGAAAAATGCGAGAGAAATAAAAGAGAGGAGACCGAAGAGAGAGCTGCTAGTATCAGGTCGGTGAGGTACGTATAGACGATTTTGAAGTGGATACATGAATAAAAAATATACCGCTAACACGCGCCGACCTATTTCGGCTCTCTTTCTTCTCGCTTTCTCGTAGCCATGAATATTAAACGCGTATAGTTCGTGAAATGTTACGTCGCTAGTTATCGAGTGGAAAATTTTTAGGGAATTAATCGATACATCGATCCATCTTTCACTCTGTTTCTTTTCTTTCCCGATTGATTTCAAGCGACGAGGAATCTTTCTCTCGTTCGTGCTTAGGTTCAATTAGAAACGTTCTAACTTAGAAAGAGATTTTATTTCCCCAGGCTACGGATTTTGAGGGAAACGAAAAAACATGTCGAACGTTTAAAGAATAACAGTTGGTGAATTAATTTCTCCGTTTGAGTTGAATGTGTTTTTCTTAAATTACACTCGTGAATGTGTAAATTTGCGTATGCTCGTCGCGACTGATTATTTTCTATTTCGTGAGATGCTTCAAGCTACGAGGCTGCGAAAAGGTTATAAGGGATTTTCTTGTAAAGCGAGTTATTTTCTAAGTGTTGATAAGATGTTGATTTTGTATTATTATTCATAACAAGCACTGTCTTATTACTTTGTTATGAAAATGCTAATGACGGGTGGAATGAACAGGGGATGAATGAAATTATGTCCTCGAGGATTTTTAATAAGACAAAAGATGAGAAGTGACTCCCAACTTTGATAGAGAGAAATGATGATACGATGATTTATGAAAAGTGGCAAGCATTGTTTCTTCTAGTTGTGTATTTAAAAAATACAGATATCTCTGAAGGAAACTTTGAACATGAACGCACATGAATTTTTCCCTAGCCTTAAACACAAGTAAGAAACTTAAATGTTCATTTCACTTTCCAATTTGAAACTTTCACTCAACACTCACTGCTAGAGCAACAAGTCCAAACGTTACATTCTGTTGCCTCGAAGACAACAGAATGCAAATAAAGATAGTAAAAGAAGAAGAACGATTACATGAAAGTTAGAATACGTCACATTGTGTTGTACAATTGAATTGTAAACTTGTAACAAAATCGTCTAATCGTCGATGACGGATCTCAAGAAGCTATTTTCGATTCACACGGATAGTGTAAAAATCTTTGCAGAAAAATTCCTCCACCTTTTTAATCGAACGAAGAAACAAACGAATGAAAGAAAGAGACGAATGTTACAGAGGTTTCATAAACAGTTCAAACTTATCATCGATGTCTTCGCATCAGAATTCCTCCATTCCTCGAATCAGACAAATTAAACAATAAAACGAAAGGTACGGATGTTCGTTCGCCACTATACACTTAATATCACAATAATTTCGCAAATAACGATTCAAGCTCATTATCAGTGACTGCTCCACCTCTTGATCAAAACAAGAAAACAAATTCAATAAAAAAAAGAACGAACACATCCGATAAAGTTCGTTTGCCATTGTACGATCAGCGTTTCAATAATTCATAATCGATTCAAGATCGCGTAAAGATTCCAATGAGGGACCAAACAAGTTAAACATCAATTCAAACTCAGGTAAAAATTCACCCTGCCAGTCGCGCGAGAAACCAAACGAATTGACCGTCAGTCGATTCGAAACTCGGAACAAAAATTCCTTCAGCCAATGGTCGAACGAGAAACCAAACAAATTGAACGTCCGAACACCTCGAACAAAAATCCCTTCGTCCATCGGAGAAGAGAAACGAAATCGAGTTAAGGAATTAACCGAGGCTCGCGTAGAAACTTCTCCGCCCTCTGAGAGAAACGAATTAAGAGAAAAGAAAAAAAGGCGCGGACGCTGCGATAAAATTTTATTCATGCCGTTACGTACATACATACATACATACATACATACATACACGATCGCGATCGTCACGTACGATTAACTCCTTAAGCAGAGAGGATGGTCGGGTTCAAACTCACCGCCCCGTGTCCTCGCGCGGAAAAAATCTCCAGCACCCTTTTTTCGAGCAGGTTGGACGAACACTCGTGCGGAGCGCGGCTCGCACTGAGCTCGCACGCCAAACGAATCCGGGGTCCTCGTGTTCCTTCGCCGCCACTTGCTCGCCTCCCTCGGCTTTCCAGCTACGTCGGGCACGATGCGCAACCTCGGAATATTTATGCCACCATCCCGCTTCCGTTCCAACCCTCCCCGCCGACCGAACGAGCCGTTCGAAACGAAAATTGTTTCACGACTCGGCAACGTGTCCTCCACCCTCTCCCCTCCCCCTTTCTCGCCCACCCACCCACCCCCTCCTCTTCACCCCCATCGACCTACGTGTCCTCCACGCCTCGGCCTCAGCTTCCTGCACCCGCCAAATGCACCTGACAAAATCTTCTTCTCTTATGCAAATAAACGAACGATCGCGAGAACGCTGGATCAGCCGCGTGTTAAACGCGCGAGGGAACCTGAAGGTCCGGGTATTACGTTCCTCGGGGCGCGAAGAGATATTTAATTTTAAAACTGACGTGAATTGTTTGTGGGCGCGCTTGACTGGTGGCGAATGGAACGAGGGGGTGGAATTTGAGACGCGTCGTTGTTGTTGATATTTTTTTTCGGGATTTCGTGGAGATCGAAGCAGTCACGTGTCTTCAACAGTAGAATTTAGAACGTCGTTCGTTATTTTTCGATATTTTTATTTTTGGAATATCTGACGTTGGATATCTTCGTGAGGGGTGCAAGTATTATTATTAAATCTCCCAATTATTATTTTGTTTTTCTTTCTTTTTTTCTTTCTATCACGAAGGGAAAAACAGAATTATAACGAACTTTATTATTTTAAATTGCATTAATTGTAAGTACATTAAATCTTGTGCCATAAATGAATTTTTGTAAAAGAAGAAGTTGGTTAGACATTCAGGCAGTGTTGGACAAAAGAAAATTTTGCGATAGAGACAGTACGAGTGCCAATACTGTACCAAAGTTTAACCTTCGTTCATTGATTTTATAAAATTTTCTCAAAAATATCGTACGTTCTTTTTTTTTTTTTTAAGTCACTTAAATTTTCTTTTGTTCGTCATTGTATGCATTGGATTGGAGTTTAACCACTGGATTCCTGAATTGTTTCACGGGTAGTATACAAAGTCGATAAAAGCGAGCCAAACAAATGTATTCAAATGCGAGTGCTCACGTGCAGCTGGGAACCACAGTAGTGTGTGCCTGTCTATGGTCAGACGCGTGCAAACAGGTGGAAAACACGAATTAACAGTAACATCTGCGCGTTAAATCTTTCTACACCCTGCCGCGATTGTTATTGAAATCCCACGCGTTTGTTCTTATCAAGTTCCTGCTCTTTCGCAGAAATTCTCAAATTTCTGAAGCATTTATTCGCGTGGCTCGTAAAAATTTTGAACTTTTATGAAAATCTTCAGGTCGAAGTAAAAAAAGTAACTTATTTCTTTCATCGTTTAATGTACGGTATTATCTTTCACATTTACATTTAATATTTAGTAAGAAAGTAGCAGATTTTTTAAATAGCCTAAAGAAAGTAATTGAAAATTAGTATCAACTTTCAACATACACCAACAGAATATATATAAAGTTAAAATATTTTTGGAAACTAACGAATTGAAGAATATTACAGTATCGAAATCCCTCTAATAAATTAAAATTACAGTAAAATTATAATAACCATTAAAGAAACACTTTAGAACATTTTGAAGGATCACAGAAAATAATTCCAACCAAGAGTATACAACTTCTAGGGAAATATTCCAGAAGAACCATAGCTCACGAATGAAACACCTATTCAAACATATCCTTCGTTCAAAACTACAAAAATTAACAGTATTTACAAATTTACAGTACTCGAAAAATATAGAGTGGGCCAAAAATCACTTCCTACTAAAACAAAAAGATCCGTAACTTTTTTTCATTCATGTACTTTCCCAACATTCGAATGAAATAATTTTTAAAACATAAATGAAATAAATTGCGTTTAAACTGGAATTTAATTTAAAATTAACAAAATTGTTTTTTCCCCCTGGATAGTTGATATTTTATTTACCAAAAAAAAAAAAAAAAAAAATAGGTGGGAAGAAACTTTTCACCCACTCTCTGTATTAATACTCTGCTCTAGATACTCTTCGCCTTACGACATACCTTACAAGAATACCAGATCTTAGGTACAAAAGTATTTCATCGATCTGTCTCAGATAAATCGATGCACAAGTCGCCAAGGTCAGTATCGTTGAACGAACGCGTTTCCAATCAAGTTCCCATGAATATTTGGTTGGTCGATCGCGCGGAAAAACTTTTAGATAGCGTCTAGCGACGTGCAGCGGATTCATCATCGCGCGCGCGATCTATTCCCCCCGTAAACGCGCCGCGTTTCCATGTAACACTATATCCAGCGCGTAAACGTGGCCACGTGAACAGGGGAAGGCGGCGAGTGTACGTTAAATATTATGCCGTGGCTGGGTTGGTTAATTGATCAGAGCAAGCCAGTTAGTTTCATTACGTTACCTCCATCTTCGTGGGTTTCGCACAATAGAGGCCTCTTGCGGTATCGGGGCCACTAGGACTGGCGTGCGTTCTAGAGTCTCTTTATCGGAGCGAGACTCGTTCACCGATTCGAATTCTGTTAGTCTTTTTTTTTCTTTTTTTTTTTTTACCTTTCACTTTCTCCTTCGGCATTTTTTTTTTTCTCGCGTCTTGCACGAATGATAAAACGTGAATTTTAATAGCCGATGATTTATCGCGGTATTATAAATATTTTAGTGTCTATAATGGTGAAACGCGAGTTTTAATACGAAGCAGTGTTGTAAACACTCTGATTTGTGGAACATGTAACGACGAATGTTTGACGGCATTTCTTTGCGTCAAAAAATGAAATTTTACGACAGGTTGATCGAAAAGAGTGAAAATTAGGAAATTTTTGCTTCAATTTTTCAACATGCTCTCGTCATGAATATTTTATCGCGTAAATTTTTGAAGTTTAATTATACATTTATGTCGTGATTTTTCACTTCTCGTCCAGTTATTCTAATTAATCATTTGTAATTATTATAATATAATGGTGTCACGGCTATTGTGAAAATTCGTAGCCGTTCCATTTCCCTTTCAATATGGCATTGTGTAATAATCATTATATTATAATCTGAATTTGATATTCAAATGAAACGTTCAGTAACTAATTTTCTAACGTGTATCGTATTAATTATTAAATTTTCGACAATGATCGTTCGCATAGCGGTGCATAGTGTAGTCCAATTTTTGCTGCGAAGTAGAGCGACTGGTAGCAAGCAAGTATTTATTGTTTAATAAATCGTTGTTATGCTACACGCTGCGCAACAACGAACAATCGGACGAATCTCTGATTCAACATTCAGCGTTATTGTTTAATCTCATGTAAACTGATGCGTATCGTTAATATAGTGAAACCATAATATAGTGATCCCATGTCAGATATTACCGATATAAGTGTCATGTTGGAATTGATTTTACATCTGACGAACGTCACCAATTGAACGCTATTGTTAGATACGTATAACGATAAAGGAATAAATAGAACTATGAGAGCAAAAACTGCATAAATTTCAAATCTATTAGGGAAATTCTTTCGATGCCTGTACGATGAATGTATCCTTGGAAAAAGTTCTTCTCGATCACCATATATATAGATCGAACGCATAATTTTTCGATTCTATTTCCCAGTCTATCCTCTTTTCCAATATACAACTAACTTCCCGCATCGACTTGTAAACTGTTTTCCCAGCTTCTTCCCGCTTCGATCCACCCTTCCGATCAGATTTTGCTCGAACGCGAAAATTCTCATTACAACACGTTGTTACATCATGCCATTCGCAAGAGAATCAACCTCGATCACCGATATTTGTGCAAAATCATATTTTTACAAAGACATTCTTTTCCGTTAAAGAAAAAGAAACGAACACGTAAATTTTAAATGTAAATAAATTTATACGATATGTTTACGAATAAAAATTGTTTCATTTAACAAATAACACTCGAACGTTGATGTTTCGTGCATTTTTTTCTTTTTTTTTTTTTGTATGACGTAGATTTTTTAGTTTTCTTGCGAGTAAATGAAACTTGTATAAAAAGTTAAATATTTTCGTATCGATTGTAATGATAATATACTGTTTGAGATCGCAATGAAGATCTTTGAAAGTCTGAGGTGGAATATTTTTATTATTTTTATTATTTATATATTTATTTGTATATAATAAAAGAATAATAGCAATATAATGACAATAAAATAAATATAATAACTTATTATATTAATTTATATATTTATTATATTAATAAATAATAATAATAAAAATTAAAGTTTATAATTTATATTAATATAGTAATAATAATAAAATAAAATTTATTTTTATTACATTTATTATTTATATATTTATTTATATATCTTTATTGTCTATTCGTGGTTTTCATTCAAAGTTTCTGCAACTTCCTATAAATAAAAATTCATCAATTATAAAAATCATCAATTATAACACGCGGAAAATTCAATTTTCTTCTAGAAAAAGAAAAACATTGACCATTCAATAATTTTCACCAGAACGTTCCTCAACTGTCCCAGAAACTTCCCTGAAGATCCACAATTGAATAATATCTACGATCAATTCGAGAACCACTCACTTTGTCGAAAGAGGAACGACGGACGGAAAGACACGAGCGAAACGGGAAACGGAAATAGAAAAAAAAAAAAAAAAGGACAAGAAGCGCGTGCACGAGAATTACGCGAGGTCCGAAAGATCGTGGAGGGCATCGTTAATGACCCACTGTAAAGTGGCGAAGAATTGCACGCTGGCACGCTCTCCGCTCGTACCCTGATCGAATGCAGGGCCTCTAAAATGCCTGGATTACGTCCGCAAGTTTTGTTATCGTTGCCAGAGCGAGGTGATAGAGCTTTAGTGCAAGGTTAGTCGGCGATGAGTGAAGTGGCAATCCTCTGCGCGGCCATTGTTCTTCGGTAGCGGCTAGGACCAGAAGGGATTTCAATCGAATTCCTGCCGTGAGTACACTTGATCCGCCGATACACAACTGGCTGAGAATATTTCTGTGAAAATCAAACGAGCGAGTCGACTCTGGAATGCATCATCTTCGAGACTGGTCCTAGTGGTTTCAGTTTGTTTCGATCGCGACGAAGAGTTAGCTCTCTCG